TAATTATTTAACATGTTATGTTAAATTTGAAATTTAATTAACTATTATGATAAAACGTATTTTGCTTAACTATTCCAGACAGAGCATTCTTATTATTTTATAATACGGTAACTTTAATTAATTTTACAGAATATTCTATTAAATTTTAGCCAAAAAGAAACTGTAGTATTGTTTATGTGCATGTATGATTTCTACTATGTTCACATTATTACATTTTAATTTTCGCAAGAAAAATTATTTTATATTGTATTATATCCAAATTAACTGAAAAATAACTGGTATTAATGTAATTTATCGTGTACATAATAATCATTTTGAATTTTTTTTTTTTTTTTTTTTTGAACAATTGCATTGCGTAACATAAGGTTGTGACAAGGTGTTTGCTCCTGAAGTCATGAAACTCATAACGTAGATTTTCCTGTAACGGCCATTGTCTTCTATGTATTTATTCCAAGTCATTATAATAAGTAATAACGTCGTAAATACATTATTTTTTATACATTTTATAGCACTTGAAAAAAGGTTTTTTTTTGTCATAAAGCGTTTATTCCCTCGAGTCGACAGTGCCGCGTTCAGAACTGCATTGTTTCTTGACTTGTCACCACTTTGCTCTAGTTTTAAGAGCATATTTCTGGCTTTTCTTAACACAACGTCGTTGATTGTATTTGGCACTGTACGCGGATGTGTTGAGATGAAAATAGATCAAACTTGCGTTACAATAACATTGAACTGATATTATATTAATAAAAAGTCTAATAAATCTTACTCGTTGGTATGAGGAGATCAACTAAGATTAAGTATTTATCGTATAAAGCATATTTTTTTTCGAATTACATTCTGTACGTGAGTTTTTTAAACGTAACCAAACAATAAAAGGGTCGTAAGCCATTAAAAAAGCGATAATGCACGCCTATATTTTAATCTGTTCGTGTATAGACCTGAATCGCGCGCGCAATAATAACAATAATAATGGAAAAGTGTAGTAGTACCAGTAAGTTCGTTGTACCTAAACACGGTGTGATATTTTCCGAGTGAAAAAGAGTTAAGTAATTTCGAACAGATCACGTCTTTTGTCGGAGGAAACCGATCGTGTCTATTCATTGCACCGGTCTGCATTGGCATGTTCACTTTGTTGTCCTTTTTTTTTTTTTTTTTTNTGTTCACTTTGTTGTCCTTTTTTTTTTTTGACGTGTGACTGGGCTGTTTTATTTTTTTTGCTGTTCATCCGGCGGTTCTTTTAAAAATAATATTTATTAAAATCTACTTAGTAGAAACCGCTTGTGTCTGGTTTCTCAAATTTAAATGCTCGCCGGTAGCAGCCATAAGACAAAGAATAAGCAACACTAGTTTTCACTCGCGGCCTTAGTAGTCGTCGTCGTCATTGATAATGGTCTTCTATTTACCATATGGCGTTACACCCCACCCCCGTCTGATTCACCGGAGGATATCATCAATGATAACCGTTTCTGCCCACCAGACTTTTCTTTAATATTTACACGTGGAAGTTTGTGATGTACGTGATGGCGATCACCGGTGCAGATACTTGTGGTTTGTTTACATGTAATAGGCAAACTATGTGGAGAGTTATGATAGTTCACGAGAACTGTGAATACGATGTCAACGTGACTAGGAAGAATCCCCGTCGTTGTACACACACACAACACTTGATGTATTCTTATTTTTACCTTGTTAAAAGTACATCGCACTTGAAAATTCGAGTTTCCGATGAGAATCCACTACAATGTACACCCAAAGTGATTTATTTATTTGTCGATTCAACGAAAAATCATTGTAATCGTAACACAATATATTTTACTCTATCACGAACCCCAAATCCGGTTTTCTGTATAATTAAATTCATTCATTGTAAAGTACAATTACTTTTTTTGGTAAACTATATAGAATATTAATGTTTTATTAGTATAGAATTGTGTATGCGAAGGTAACGCTTGTAATTAATGTTCATTATAGTCTTGTGGGCAGTAGTTTTATTCTCGAAAAGTTACGATGCCTTGAGTGCTGACCTTATTAAACTAATTTACACCTGTATATCTATACATATTTGGATATTCAAATGATATATATTCTTATAAAAAATGAAAAAACAACAAATTGTTTCACAAGTAACGCCCTAATAAGTGTGTAAGAGTATAAATCTATTACTTCGTCGTTTATCTTAAACGATATTTCAAGTGTCCCCTTAAAATACAACATTTGTTAAAATAATAGATTTGTAGTAAAAGTAGTAGTTTATGAGATTTATGGGACACTTTAAATTGTTATTTAAAATATACCCAAAAAAAACGAGAAATTGAACTTCCATACAACAGGTTTAAAGGTAGTGAACAGCGAAATACCTGTTGAGGTCGGTAGGATTTGAATTTTGTTCAGGGTTGTTAAAACGGATACATAATTAATGGGGTTGTCTGGACTTAACTTCGTTTAACATGTACATTTTGACCTTCAAACTACCTCATTTGACAGTTCAGGTTTTGAAGCATACTAAACTGTTCGGGTCCTAACCATTAACCTATTGTGGCGTCGCATTGCCTATTCCAGACAAATTACTCAAAAATAAACTTTTTGTTTCCAAGGTTACTTTTTTAACCTCAAGCTATAAATGCAGTTGGATGTTGTACAATATATAATAACATAGAAGAGATTATGGCGTGTAAAAAATCTACAATAAAGAGGATTGACATTCTGTGTAATGGATTTCAAAAATCCTCTCGTCGTTGTTAAGGAATCTATAGTATTTTCCATTTACGGTCATGAACCTCCTAGTTGTGCTCTTACTATAGTTAACTCTTTACATTACTCTGAACACCTGACATTTTAACGCTTGAAATGCTTATTACATCCCAAATCAGTTATTGTTTAATAACAAATTGTTTTTAATATATAATATTATTGTGAATAATAACTTGTTATATAAAAATTACACGTATTATAATACTCATTGCATAAGAAGTTCGATTTAAGAAGTATTATAATGAATATTTATTTCAAATGTAAGTAAGTCGCCTTTAGGCTTACTGATCATAAGTTACGCATTTGTGAGTGTATTATGTATAAATTTTCCAATAACTAAAACGCCCACAGCCTGCGATATGACAATTAAGTTAGTTATGTATTAGTCGATTTACATATAAGTGTACTAAAATGTATAAATACAGTATTATATTACATTGTTACAAAACATTATGTTTACACATTTATAAAACAAAATTTTTTGGTTACTGTGGCAACTCGTATTCTTTTGGCGGTTATTTTTTCGTTGACAAACACGTGATGTTAAATTATTATCGATTAACATATAACTACTGTTACCGGAAGCGAGGGGGCGTTAATTTACTAAACATCTGTAAGGGGATAGTATTTTTTAAATTTAGGTTTTTCGCTGCCTATCCCTTTGTTATTCATAGTAATGGTCTATTGATGGTTATAATTTATTATTTTTCAAATAATTTTCAGTTGCAGACCGTGTGTTGTTTGATCTTATTAACATAATTGTCACGTGTTTGTTTTATAATGTATAGTATACATTGTATACATTAGGCTATTTTTAACGTGGACAAAATTTTAGTTGTTTTCATAGTAAAAATGTGGAAAATTGGTACAACATTTTTATGATCTTAACTCAATAAACATCATTAAAAATAATACAATCGAATTGAAAAGATTGTATTATATTTTGTCAAGTATATCAAAAGTAATTGGATTTTTTCTATTCGATTATTTCTTAATACTACGTGTCTATAATATTAATTCGAATGCATAAAGTTAATGACAACTAACACTGTGTATGTTTTCATGTAGAGACTAATGCAAATGAATAAACACTTAATTATAATGGTTATAATTTAAATACTCTATCATTCTTATTAGTTGTCAATCAGTGTACAACAAATACTTTATTGCGAACTTATGTCATAATAACATTTATAAAATACAAATACATAAAAAGTAACAAAACTTAAATGAATTACGGTTTGCTGCTATACTACAACAATAGATTTATCTATTATTGAGACTGGTATAATACACTACACTCTATCTCGCACGTTGTTCAATACTCGAACCATGACCAATGAAGGAACTATAACAGTTTGTTTTTTTATCATTTCCTTTTTGGCGTCTATCTAGATTTTTTTATTTAAAAAAATTATATTTATTGTTCACAATAATAAACTGTCTTGTATGTGGAAACCACATGATTTGCTGGCTAACTATACGTGAAAGGCACGCTAGATTTAAATATATCTGGGCCATCTCCACTTCTGCCACGTTTATATCATATTTATGACAGTATAGTCAGTGGTGCTTAAAATGAATGTCACGATTTTGTAACAGGATGTGAATTATATTGTATAACAAAAAAACATTTCACATGCACGCATAATATTGTATTCGTCCGTAATTAAAACACAATATTAATCTTTCAACATATTAATTAAAATAACAGTTTATAATATGTAATTTATAGTTTGAACATTTAACAGATCTCATCCTTAAACTTTGTCCTTTATTTTATTTATACATGTGAGGTTCCTCGAGCGAATCGACTCCCGGCTAGATAAAATGTTATATTTTTGGTAACGTCAAGTTGGCTTTACTTATCTTACAGATCATTGATTTTATTAACTCAACTGTTTAGTAGACCAAAAACAGGATTTTAGATTTTAGGACGTCCACGCAAAAAGACATAACAGGTATAAAGTTTCCTCGCAAATTCAAAATTTTGTTTGTTGTGTTTTAAAAGTACAATAAAACCTATATTTTTATGAACTCTTAAGACATTAAATCTAGTAGGATTTGAAAAGAAGCAAAATACCTGAAGCTTTCTCTAGAAATTTGTTTTATTTATGCGTAGAATCGTTTATATATATTTTTTGCAATATAGCTAGGAAAGGTACATTACGAATGACAAAAACAGAAATTAAATTTTATTTATTACAAAATTCTTCATAATTAACTTTAATTCGATTTTCTTTTTACAGACCATACACAATGACATCGAATCGAAAGGCAAATGCATCCGTTTGGTATTAAAATATTGTAAATGGTTATCAGATGAACATCAGTTTGCGAGTAATCAAGAAGTAGTACAAGCTGTACCTTCGTTAACTGAAAAGGCTAAAAATTTTGAAAACCGCTGGCAATTGCTGTATATCAGATCATTGGAGTGGATTTGCTTTATCGAAAATTTATCAGTCAAGAAATGCCGCAAGGTAAATTCAAAATATGTTATTTTATTGTCATTCTATTCAATTTGTATTTATAATTTTTATAAATTAAATCGTACAAAAAAAATATTTTAGTTTTATGTTTTATTTCATTTTTTTCAAGCAGGACAGTAAAAGCTCTTCAGATTATGATGAAGAACCTGTCCAAAAATGCCCTCGAATGAATGAAGATCAAATTCAACATAAATTAACGAACGTAAGAAATTTTTTTTTTCCAAAACAATTATTTTTCAATATATACTTTATATATCTTGTGTGTGTTTTTAGAATACAATGGAAACTGGATTTTCGCCGATACCTGTTCTTCATTCAGAACGAATGTCATTTGACGAAACGGCCAATTTTCATAGGTATGTATAACATGTTTTTATTTTTAATAATATTTATTATAATTGTTTCTTTAATAGAACACAGGCGAAATAATGTTTCAATATTTTTTTAAAATATAATTTTTTATTGTTTTTATTAGGTCGGATAGAAAAGGTCCAAATTTGGCCACGTTCTATTATAGACATCTGGACACTGATTCTGAACAAGAAAATAAGAATGTACAATCTTCTACTAAAACTGATGAGAAAACATCAGAACGTTCGGATGATGACGAAGAAGAATGGACTTATAGCTCAAGAACAAATAATGAAGTTAAAAAAACAGAATGTCACATTTCGTTAGCAGAGCCCGCTAATTTGGAAGAAATCAAATCATTGGTAGATAATGTAAACTGGACAGTTCCAAAATCGAAGTATCAAGATAAGAATTGGATATCTGGTAGTGGAATTAAAAGAAGACATTTCAGAAATGAAAATATTGATCCTGAAGTAATCAAAATTTGAAAAAAAATATTTACGACAACATTTTTTAACTAAAATTAACTTATTATAGAACGGAGAGCGTATTGGCGACAGTTGTGATGCTAGTGGGGAATACACTACAGAGGACGATGATCAACATTTCAGTTCAGATAATTATTCACATTCTTCGCGTTCATGCGATATAACTGTGGTACAATCTAACGATCTTGAATCCCCTTCTAGCCTGGCGCAATTGAAATTTTGTAATTCGCCCAAAGTAAAATTTAAAAATTTGTTGACCTTTTAATGTACAATCACTCATCATAAATATAATTATTTTAGGTTATCCTTAGGCCTAAAACTAGTTCCAGAAATGCTCTTAGACCGGTAAGTATGTCTGGACTTCCTCAAAGTACACCAAAAGCTAGGCTTCTCACTGACTCGTGCCAGTTATCAGTTTCTGAATCGGCTTTAAATAGTCTTTCTCATGAACATATGTCTGTTAACGGTCGTGATTCTTCTACAATCGAAGAGTCGACCGCTACTCAGACACAAGATGGTTTAGGACCTTACAACACAAATTCTTTGAGGAGACGCAAGTTAAAACATAGAAGACGAAGTACCATGGCAAGTATTCCTTAAATGATTAAACTTTGAAAAAAAATATATATTAATTATTTTTATTGATTGTGTATCAGGAAAGAAAAAGTAAGAGTGGATCGGCCGACAGTTTATCATCTGTTGTGAACACTGTAACGTACAATGATATGGTGAACTCTGTGTCATTTTCAAGTTCTCTGTGCGGAATTTCGGTTATTGAACCTCATCGAATAGATTCTGAAACGGAAGAAGAAAATGTCATTGAGTCGAAACGTCCCGTTGTACGTAAACGCCCTATTAAAATGCCAGTGTTTCGTTTAGGAGAGTTTGGCGCGGTTACCCCTAGAGAAAAACGTTTCACACCTATTTCTCAAATACCATCGGGTACGACCACAGATTTTAGCTCCTTTTCTGAACAAGCTTGGGATAGTTATCAGGAGAAATACTTAAGCGAGCCATATAGTGAAGACCCACCCGATCCAGAATCAGTGAGGCGTTTATTGGATTTTGGCGATGACTATAGAAAGTATATCGACAGTCAATCAGACTGCGCTTCAAGTATCGGTAGACCAGGATTTGTAAGTATTGAAACTACATAAATTTCATTCATATTATGACTTCTATAAAAAATAAATTGTTTTTTTGTAGATCGATGATGATACTTTCGAACAAGAATCGTCTGAATCTGTACGCAAATTAATCGTTAAGAGTAGGTTACAACTGAATTATCTGGAACAAGTACTGTTCAAATTGATCAATTGTACCAACTCAAGTCTTACACTGAAAGATATTGTAAGTTTTTAAAACTACATAAATTATTTAATCACTTAATGAATTAATTATTTATTTAATTAGGGACAATTAAAACAGTGGTGTAGAGAAACTGAGTACTGCCTTCGATTTTGCTTAGAAGGAATTGATAACAATAATACTGTAATTTCAGCAAATGACATAACAGAACTTGAAGGTAAGTAATTTTTTGGAAATTCTTTAAAATTCGAGAGGACATCAAGTAGAACAAAATATTTTTGGTTTTTATGAATAATTATTAAAACTTTATAAAGAACAAAAGATAATTATTTTGTTTAATTAACTGGCCCGTGATGTTTTAATTTAATATGATGTTTAACAGCTGAAAATAAAAAAGGTCACCATATAAAATAATAGGTCACAATACTTTTCTATCAACATTTATATAATAGTTAAATTAACTTATAAGGAAAGGAGTTATTTTTTAAATTTTAGTTTAAAATTCGTGTTGTCAATTAATATTTAATTCCACGTATTGTCTCATGAGATTGTGAGCGAATTTCTAATAAATTTATAAAACTTAATTTTATAATTTCCTTTTAAAAACATGACAAGTTCATATAATATATATATATATATTATATTTCATTATCAATTTTAATTTGTGTTATTATATAAATATGTATTGTATTTATCTTGAGAATAATTATCCAGACTTCAAAAGTCGTTTTTCAAAAGTATTAATACAATATTTTTAAAAAATCAAGTTTTTTTCTTTAATGAAGCATAATAAATTCCGAGTAAACTTACCAAGAAAATTGGTTTGTTAATCTGCTTTAGATAATATACATAAGGCAATATTTCAACTTTCGTTAAAGTTTCCATTTTATTGAAAATCAATAGCGTGTTTTTTGGTAACCTCGTCGTGTTGTCTTAGTACATTCTCACTCAAGAAACTAAAACATTAATTTGGCTCTGACTTCTGATTGTCCAAATTAACGTCGCCGTAGTAACCCAATTCGCCTTTAAATGGTAGGGGAATGTTATCGATTGGCTTTTTGAGACGTTTGCTCGAGGTAGTCGCGTGGGTCTCCTACAGTCTGTGGGCGAACATTGTCGATTTTGCGTCCATGGAAACTATTACAAAATTAACCAAACCTTTTCGACGGAGGCGGTTAGCTCAGTGAACCCGTTCAACAGCGAGCCTTCCAACGGCCCCACCTGTAGTTATGTGCAAATCCGTACAGAACATATGCCTTGCCATCAGTCGGTTAGTCGATTTTCGGTGACCACCTGCGCCAATCCTCTCGCACAGNAGCTCAGTGAACCCGTTCAACAGCGAGCCTTCCAACGGCCCCACCTGTAGTTACGTGCAAATCCGTACAGAACATATGCCTTGCCATCAGTCGGTTAGTCGATTTTCGGTGACCACCTGCGCCAATCCTCTCGCACAGTACCTTCTCTTTCGTTGCACAACTTCAGTCTCGATTTGACGCGCCGACGGATAAGATAATGCAAATATTTAAAATGAGCACTATCGTGACAAACGTTTTTTATTTATACCGTAAAATTTGTCTATAATACAAGTAGTTGCGCAGTGCGCGTAAAACGCTGAAGTACGACAGTCGGTTACGATTTTTTAAGTTGTCTTTAAAAACCAAACAATACAATAATATTATGACGTGCCCCGTTAAAGTGGCCCACGTAGCTACTCAAACCATCATCAAAGGTAAACATATAACAATATCTTATTGTGTTTCGTTTTTATAATGTGAGTAGATGTAATTTAGATGAATTATTAACACGGATTGAGTTATACACAGTTACACAGACAGTATACCGTTTATAATGCCAACAAATTATCTTAACTTTCATCCTCCCACGTCCGATCCGTTACTATTATTGTAAATTAGTAACATCGAATTTGGCAAATAGTATTTTTATAGTTGTCGAGTTCTTTTTTTCGTCTTCATTTTCAAGGTCAAGAGAGATCGTATTCAAAATCTAAATGTCAGCCACTTCATTTAAGCCAAATCTTAAGTGAAACATTGCCAATTAGCTGCTACCTTCATTTCAATTTTTGTTTAAGTTCAACACTCAGTTTTAAAATGTTTTGTACAATTAAAAAAAAACGTATTCGTTTATTTTACGTTAAATAACAGTGTAATGGCATTGTAATTATGTGTTAGGATGTAGTTTTTCCTTTGTTTTTTGTTATTAGGCGTACAATGCATTGTGTTCATTTTTTCGTCATGATCGTCGGACCGCTAATCACTCAGTTTTTGTTCAATGAATAAATATAACTTCATAAAATTCATGTGTCCATTCTTAAAATGTAAAGTTTTCATTCAACTGAAATTGTATCTAAATCTTCTCTTTATATAAATTTTAATCCCGACGTCTTTTGGGCAGCCTGAAATGAATACCATTTATAGATATCGAACTTTTTTTAATAATCATCTAAGTTAATACAAAATTAATTTTTAATCATTTATCAAGGTAATTGATTGATGTCGATAGACACGTGTTTACGTTACACGTATCCGGAGATTCTCGCACCCTTTTCTAGCAATGAATAATTATTATAACTTAGATTAAGTTAAATTAATATTAATTTAGTTTAAGCTGTATTCATAAAATCAATCTGGAACCAAATTAATTATTCACTTACACAGTGTAACAAATGTTATGTTTTAAAATAATGGCCGTTTTATATTGAGTTTATATAATTTTTTTTATAATGTTTACTCAAAGGAACAGTTAAACAATAATTGTTTAAATTTATAGTATTATAGGATATAATATTTTAGATTTCAACAATCATTAGCCTAATAAATTCTTGAAGAAAATTCGATATAGGTCTACTGAATTTGTCAATAAAGTCTAGATATATTATACATTTTTGAAAAACCGAAATTATTTCGATTCCTAGACCTGCAACAAATATTGTAAATTTCTCCCAAATAAGTATTACACAATGTATATTAGGTAATTTAAACAAAAAAGACATTTTGAAAATGTGAAAAATAAATTAAATTCATTATTACAGTCAATTATGTTTCAACAATAACTATTCTCAATGTGCTTCGTTCAGTATCAAATATTTTTATTGTGAATATTACACAAAAAATTGTATAATAGCAAGTCATTTTTACTATAAAGAAAAACCATCGAGGTTATACATTGAATCAAATTATATATTAATTTTCATGGTATAAATATAATTTTATTTCTTATAATTATTATTCATCATAACGTAGAAAATTTTAATATTCCATTATTTAAAACTTGTTCAATTATAAAATAATAATAGCAATAATAATAATCACTCTTTGTTTTCATTATCAGCAAATAGCAAAATGCATTGAATGTGCTTTAACGAGTATTAAAACAAATTGTGATTACAAAATATTGTAAAGAGAGTGTAAATCACGTTTATAAATAAAATGATAGAATTTAGCTAAAAACAATTGTATGCATATTATTTGTTTATTATTGTTGATTTGTTATGTGAGACGTATTAACCAATTTTTTTTTTGTTAAAATCAAGTATAATAATTTCTTTGCCAAAATTCTATTTTTATTACAAATATTAATGTTTCAACATTAATTAATACTTTAGGCGACAGTCTTACGCAATAAAACTTGTGGAATATATAAAATAGGTCAGTGTCGTACTCAGGCTTTTTGCTTGGGAGACTGAGTACCTATGTGTAGGATTTTGCCCCTTATGACATACTCTTACTAGCTCCATAATCATAATATGATTATTATTAATACCATGATTATTAATATTTATTAAACTGTAATAATTGACTAATAGGGAAAGCTAAGCCCAATAGTCCCTTTCGTTTTAGCTACACTACTAATATAATAAATAAACCCTTATTTAAGTAGTAAAATTTATTAGACCGTTTCAAAAATAAAGAAATTTACTAATACTCACTTAACATTAATGTAGTAAGTAATTTACTTATGCTTTCCTCTTATAACAGCATCAATAGTTGCTGTAATAGTTATAGTAGAATATTTTTGAATTTAATTATTTATTTGATATTGTATAATTTATTTTATAATCACTAGTTACCCAAAATTTCTATTCTTGAATCGTAAAACTTATTTATAGTAACTTATATTTTTAATCAATAGATTGTCCTTATTTATTCACAGTCACTATTTTTGCTAAATCAACATAAAAAAGTTTCAATTGATGTTCACTAAATGTGAAAATAAATTTTATTAACAGAAAAATTATTTGTAATGAAGTTTTTTTCTTAGCATCCAATAGAATAAAACAAACAAGCATTTTATCTTGATAATCCTTATCGTGATTTTAATGTAAGCTGATTTCTACAAATAGCGGTCATAAGAAATTAGTATTTTTTTTTTTTCATTTAAATAAAAAAAGCATTTTGTTCTGTTGCCATCTTGGCCGCAAAAAACAAACAATATTGTTAATTGTATGTGCATTTTTTCTATCATAATGTATATTTCTAAATGAAAATAATAATAAAAGTAATATTAACGAAAATAATGATTCCAGCTCGAAGTTGAACTTAATTGATCTCTCGTAATAACTGTTATTGATCAATTATTTATTAATTTACTATCGTTTTAAGTACAACTATAATATAAATTTGTATAATTTAGAAACCACTGTTAATAAAAAAAATGAACGCGCACACGTGATGACTCTTGACGTATCCCATCCCTTCCAAGTTATAACGGCCCGGCTGCTGTGGTAGCGCGACGTCCCCTCCGCCTGGTTGCTGTGATGTAATGTACAACGTTCCGTTGTCGCCAGTTACTATCAAATCGCTTATGACCCTCAAGTCGCGTGTGGTGAGTCTCGCACATCTAACGGTCATACCGCGTGCACTTTTTCTAAGCTATTATCTTATTAGTGTGATATTTGACACCAAGTTGTTTGATGTTATTAATCGATTTATTTTAACATAGTGAAGTGCTACTTTATGTTGTTTACTTAAAATATCGTTTTCTCTTTACTGGGAACTCATGTAGAGGTATTGTTTATCATAAAAATTTGCATTTTATGCAATCTTAATCATTTATATTTTGCTATGTCTCAGCCGTCAATGTATAAGGTCGTGTTCTTTTCAACTAATTACTGTTACTTCTCGGACTAAAACTTTTTTAACTCTATGTTTGATTTACTATGTCCGATTTTCTATTAAATTGATTTTTAAATCTAAAGATCATAGATAAATATTTAAAAAAAACCGTTATCTTTTCGATTTTTCAATATTAGCAAATTATTTTTAGACGATGTACACTCTCGTGGAGTGCCGAATATTATTACATAAATTATATCTAAATAAAAGTATTAATTATATATTTTTTATATTATACAAACATCATTTTACTGTTATCAGCGCAAGTTAAAAACCGTTGGTGAAATATTAATGATAAGCAGTTTTCCGTTAACTTTCCTACAATACAGTTTTTGGTTTCGTTTAAAAGTTATTTTGTTCTTAAAACAAACTTGTTTTATAACGCAGTTATAAATAAATCTAGTTTTCTCGAATATTGGAGGCCATCGTGTTGTATTAAACCAGGTGTCGCAGATTTGTTTTTCAGTATCCCCTCAATGGCCTTCGTACATTTTTAAAATATAATAGTGTGACCGTTGATTGAACCTTCCGGATCGTGACCCCATCGCATATGATATTAAAACTACATTATCAACATACATAATTCAATGTGCGTGTTCCATAGTCACTCTTACAATTATTGGTTTCAACAATCATTTTATAATACATTTTCGATATTTACTGTAGTTTTAAATTTTGGTCATTTAATTTCATAATATTCTCTTAGAAATGTTTTTTCCATGTTAATTAAATTATATAATTGTTTATAAGTTGTCCTTTTTGGATTATATTTATAAATATATTAGATTATGTGTTTACTATTGGTCACGTTGACTTATTCAATATAATGGGATCACCATTAAATATATTAGTTGAACATTAACGGCTGTTGTACTAAGACAAAGAAACATTATTGTAATTTTTATTAGAACTCAATTCAGTGTGGTCTATTATCATTTTACTTCAATAAAATCAATCGTTTTACAACAATATCCCATTTCAATAAGAAATTTATCCTAATATCGAAATTTACTTGTATTGTTCTATTATGTTTACCTTATAGCTATAATGTTATAAATATGAAACATGATAGTACAAATTATGGCATTTTAACTTAAAAACTGTTACTGTAAACAGTCGTTATGTTTATATTAAAAATATCGTTAGCTGGATCTAATCAATTCCGTGTAGATTATAAAAGAAACACTTCACCACGTGGTCTCTAAACAAAAAGCAATGTTTATTATAACCCACCCAAAAATGATTGCTCTATAATATGACTGGAATCAACAGGCTAAACTCTTTAACTAAAAATATAAACATAGTATTATCTCCTCTCTTCATTCTTTAGGTTATTCCATTATTAACATAGTTAAGTCAAGTATTATAAATATGAACATATGTAGGAATAATATTTATTAATTTTATTCTTGTTTCACTATATAAAAATTACTGTAAATATATATTTTTCCGCTTGAAAATTATTATCTTTCGACTTTATTGTATAAATATCAATCTCTAAATCATCTCGTCGTCTACCAACCATATCTATTTATTTCCTTTAATTGAGGACGTACTGATTAATTATTTGATAAAATTTCAGCTTTTACAAAAACATAAATTCGATGAAATGTTTCATTTAGCTTACATAGTTTGATAATAAAAATAACCATTGAGGCGAGTCAAAAGTATAACCTCTATTTTTGTTTTTAGCTCATAAGTGTTTTCAAGCGAGTTGAATGTCTTAAAATCAGATAAAAATACTGAGAAGCATTCCAAAATTTAATTAATCTTTTGTTCATTTCAAAGCTGCACTACGTTTTATCATTCTATATTAAATATTTGTGTAGTATCTTTATATTTAATTTTAAAGAAATATATCATATTTATTAAATTAAATCTGAATTAATTTTATAGAATATGTTAAATGTTTAATCCATCTGTAATAATTAAACAATGTATATTAGTTGTCGAGTAATTAGGCATTTAACAATTTTTTTTGTATAAATAAAAAATCATCAGACTTACTTTTAGACCACACTGCGAAAATCTAAATTATATTTTATTTATTATCATATTAAAATATTGACTTGCAGAAATAGTCATGTAATACGTTTATTTCTGTGACAATAACACAGAATTCTTCGGCTGAGAATCTCTGACATATATTATCCTCTATTTATAACTACATCGCCGTGTCGTCAAAACGTAAGTGTCCTAATCCATTATACAAAGTATAAATTCTTATGGACAAGCTAAACATGAAGACTGTTAATGGAATCATTGCAAATTCTACGTTACTTCCATGTATAGAAAATGAAACATTAGAGTTTGAACATCTTGATGAACTTTCAGATTCAGAATACGAATTGGATCTCAATGACAGCTTTAATAAAATAACAAGTAGTCTTGAAAGTTATCAAGCTGCTTCAAGTTCATTGAGATTAGAGTCAAATAAATTACTCGAAACTTCGACAACAGAATTAGACTTAAGTACGATTATTGAAAAGAAATTAAATGTATTAAGTTTGAATAATATAAAAAAAAGTACATATGCAAATCAAAGTCCTTATATTGAAACTGCTCCACAATTAGATGATATTAATGAAAGTTTTAATGAAATGAAGAATAATGTTCAAAAATTACATAACATTAAAATAAATAGACTGAAAAATTATGTAAAAGAATTAACAGAAGTTATGGGCACTCCTATAATTATAAAGGAAGGTAAAATTATATAAAAAGTTTATAGGAAAAAAACTAATTGTAAAACCAACATTTGTTTTACTTTTGATGTCCTTTTTATTAAATTTAGTCTTTTTTTTTTTTAATTTATATTTTAATTATTTAAAATTTTCTATTTTAATCTAATTAGACATGGTAAAAAAATGTGAACGAATTGAATTAGACATATCCAAACAAGAAGAGTTCCATTTATTAAAGACCGACATTGGAGTGATAAGGAACCGTTTATCAGCATTCACTCACAATGATCGACTTGATACCAATGTCAAGAATAAAAATGAATTAAAAGTTTTTATTCTATCTGCTAAGGTAATGATGTAAAATATTTAAATAGTAATTTTTCTTAAATGTATCTTTTTTTTTAGACTGAACTATCAAATTTAGAGACTTATTGGAAGGATCGCAATATAGTTCAAATATCAGAAAAAATAAATAGACATTTAAATGAATGTTCTGATAATAAGGCTTTATATTATGAAATGTCCAAAAATGTATCAGAACTTTATTCTATTTATACAAGTTCTAAGAAAAAGTAATCTTAAATATCAATAGTATTTTAAAATCTAATAATTCATGTATAAATTTTTAATATCTCTATTTAATATTTTTAAAACCACCAATATGATTTTTATAATTTTTATTTCAATGAAAATAATATATTACACATTTTTTATTTTTATTACTTTCTATATTAACTTTCTATAATTATAAAACTTTTCTAATTAATTATGCTGTAATTTTACACATTTTCTAGAAATAGACAAACTTCTGAGTTACTTACATATATATATATATAATTATATATAATTGGTATATATTTTTAAAACTAAAGATAAATTCTCGAATTTAAGCATTTATTATATTTCTTATCCACTTAACATAAGATAGATCCAAAAATATATAACGCGAATTTATATCTAAATTTCCACAATAACTATTTAGCCCCCATATTTTCCAATTATATCTCAAACTAGCAATTCCTATTAATTTTTCATCACATAACATTGGACAGCCTATATCTTCATCACAAAACTGTATTTTACTTTGGTCAAGGAAAAGCCAACATCTATTAGTTCTGTAATCATTAAATACTGAAAAATGATCAAAATATATTTGAAGCTAATAATTCTATATACTCGTAATAATTAAAATTCTCTGAACATTCTGCTCGCACTACTAACGTATTGTTTAAACTAGATGACCAGTTATCATAATACTTAGATTGTGGTTTATGTACAGGATTGGTAATACCATAAATAGAACACAGTTTCTTTTCCCAATTCAAACTATTAGAATTTTCACTGTAAAAGCTATTGAATATATTAATTACATTATTATTATTAATTTCTTCTGGTATTGCTACAATCTGTCAGTATAACAAATTATTTCATAGTAAGTTTTTTTTTTTTTAAATATTTTGTTGTAACCAACTTTAATTAATAAAATGCCACTTGGTAAATTTTTTTTTTCAAATAAAGGTGTATGCAAAGTTTGGGCCTGATATTCATTTTCTTTTTTGCAACTCTGTATCTATGGAATAATTAAAATTTTTAATTAATGTTATTAACAAAACATCTGTTAGATTTACTGTTATATATTTTGGATCATTTTTCTTGATACATTGTTTCTCGGTAATAAAAAAACGATGGTGAATTCTTGTAGCACAACATGTTGACATTATTTCCATACTTGGGTGTTTTTCAAATACTTTAAATAAAAATGCTAAATCATTAGGACAATACTTTGTAATGGGTGTCTTAGACATATTAGTTATTTCAGGTATAAAATAAAATTGTAAAAAAAATGAAAAAGAGATTAAATAATTAATCATTATTTCTAAAAATACACCCTAAAATCATTATGTTATTGTTTGGTTATTAATTAGTATCTATGGTTACAGATTAGAAGATGAAATATCAAGATATCAAACTGCTTTAGATACTTGGACAGAATGTGATCGCCAACTAATGGAATTAGAAATGAAGTTTAAAGGATTTTTTTATGACGGAAACATACCAAAAACAGGAGGTTTTGGATCAGCATCTGATAGTGGCTTGTCTGATTCTGGATCAGAACATGAACTAAATGAACATGAAAAACGATTAGTAAATCTTAAACAATTAGCTAGTAATTTAATGAATATTATAACACCTGAAAGCGAAGCACTTTCAACCATTTTATCTGTAAGAAATTTTTAGTTTTGATTTATATAATTAAAGTTTTAAAATGTAATAATTCAAAAGTTTAAATGATTAAATGACGTTATATTTTTCAGAGAATTGAAAATAATGAAATGCAACTCAAAGAACTTCAACAAACTTGCAAAGATATTATGGGAAAATCTAAAGTTCAAAACCAAGAAGACCTAGTTGATTATGAGAAAAATATTACTACAACAAGGTAATTTTTTATTTCTTATATATTAACAATTTAGTCAATCATCTTAAAATTATTAGTATTAAATAATTACAGTTAAAATATTTAAATAAATTATTTGACATAATTAATTTCTATTCAATAATTTGTACTTTACAAATAGTGTGTATTAACAACATATAATAATTTTCAATTTTAATATAACCATTATACTTGGTTGGTGTGTTTCTGGTAAATATCTATATCTTGATTGTTTTAATATTATCTGTTCATTGCAATCATTTGAGTTTGAATAATTTTATTTTTTAATATTTAATTGATATCCTACATTTCATGCAGCTTCTTGATAAAAAGGGTAAGGTCTTTTCTAACATTCAAATCATGTTATATTTTTATTTTATTTTTTTGTTTTGGTTTTTTCTCATAATTATTTAGGTTTTATACTTATTATTTAAAATTATTATAAAAATTAATAAAAAATACCTTGAATTGTCTCTTACTATTTAATAAGCATGACTTAGTTTTATATTATTAAGGTAGTTTTGAGCCACATAATAATTTTTTCTGGTTCCTTATTTTAATGAAAATCAAATTTTTATCATAAAACATTTATAGTTCAAAAATGTAACATTATTTCGTCAATAATCTACAATATCCGTTGTCTAAAAAAAAATATAAATAAAGATTAATAGAATAATAATAAATGAATATAATAATTGGTGATTGATGACGATTAAAAAAAAAATTACATAGTCACTACAAGTAACTACTATGTATTCTTAGTAATGATTCTAATACCAAGATAAATGATAAAGTTATTAATGTATTAAATAGAAAATTTTAAAATTTAAATAGGAGTTAGTAATTTTTAATTGCAAAATTATCTAAATTGATGTTGATCTTCTACTTCTTCTTCTTCTTCTTCCTCGCCTTAATCCCAACTACTTAGGGTCGGCCACCCTTTTCCTAAAATTCCACTTGACACGATCTCCCACATCAGCTGTCCTCAAATCGCATTCAATAGCATCCCTCCATTTTTTTTTTTTTTTTTTTTTCTTCCTCTACCTCTTCTTCCTTCAACATTCATTTCTATAACTGTTCTTACAGCTTCCGATTGTTCTCTCCTCATAACATGACCAAACCATCTAAGTCTATTTTCTCTCATCTTATCCACGATTGACGCTAAATTTATACTTCCTCTTATATGCTCGTTCCTTATTCTATCTTCTCTAGTCACTCCACTCATACATCTAAGCATTTTCATCTCTGCTACACTCATTCTCTGCTCTACTTTCAACCGCCCAACACTCTAAACCATACATCATAGCTGGCCTCACTATAGTCTTATAGAATGTACTTTTCAGCCTCAATGAAATTCTTCTATCGCATAAGACGCCAGACGCTTCTCTCCACTTCAACCACCCACACTTAATCCTGTATCTTACATCCTCGTCAATACTACCGCTCTTTTGCACAACTGACCCTAAATACTTAAAAGTTTCCACCTATCCATCACGTCCTCGCCAATTGTCACTGATCTCCTCATTTCACTTATCTCGTGTTCTTCTTAGTTAATCTCGTACTCTAAATACTTTGTCTTATTTCTACTTATTCTTAAACCCTTTTCTTCGAGAGCTGATCTCCACACCTCTAGCCTTTGAATAATTTCCTCCTTATTTTCTCGTATTAACACTATATCGTCAGCAAACAACATGCACCACGGTACCTCTACTTGTATTTCTCTAGTAATTTCATCCATCGCTATAGAGAATAAGTAAGGGCTTAAAGCAGAACCTTGGTGCACTCCTACTCTTACATGAAAACCTTCTGTTATTCCTCCTACGCTTTTTACCCGGGTACAAGTGCCATCGTATATATGTTTTGTTATATTAATTTACCTTTTCGGGACACTTTTTCTCATTAATGCCCATTTTAAAACCCCTTTCGGTACTCTATCATACGCTTTTTCCAAATCTATAAATACCATACACAGTTTTTTCTTCTTTTCCCTAAACTTTTCTATTAGTTGCCTCACACAAAATACTGGCTTCATTGTTGACCTACCAGGCATAAATCTAAACTGGTTTTTAGACACTGATGTCTCATTTCTTATTCTCTTATCTAATACCTTTTCTCAAATTTTCATACTATGACTCATAAGCTTTATGCCTCTATAATTTCCACACGCCTGTATGTCACCTTTATCTTTGAATATCGACACCACAATACTATTCCTCTATTTATTTGGAAATTTTCTCATCTAATAAGATTTTATTTAAAAGTTCCTTCAACCACTTTACCAATACCGCCTAATATTTTCCATACTTCTACTGGCATTTCATATGGTCTTACTGCTTTATTCTTTTTCATTGATGCCATAGCCTCCCATACTTCTTTCTCGTCTTCCTTTGTTCCTAGCCTATCATACAACTCAACATACCTCTTAAACTTCGCCTTACTTACTGCACACTTGGATTCTTTGCACAAGTGTTTATACTCCATCCAGTCTCTCTCCTTTTGCTCTTCTGCCATAATTTGAATTGCTTTTTCTTACTTTCTATAATTTTTTGAACGTCCTCACCCTACCACCAGGTTTCCTTGTTTCCTGGCATTCTACTCCTACTCTCACCAACAATCTCCTTTGCAGTATTCTTTACAAAACTAGAAAATCTATTCCACAAATCATTTATGTCTCCCACGACATTCCACACCGTCCTCTCTTTTACCGTCTTTACAAACTCTTTTTTTATTTTCGCCTTTCAATTTCCACCAGCGAATCTTTGATTTTCCTCCTATTCGATGTTCCTTTTATTTTTGTATGTTTTTTTTTCCGGTACACCACAACTCAATCACCATCAGTCTATGTCGTATAGTTACACTCGCTTGTTATAACTACTCGCTTTACGCTCTCTCTCTTCCACATAAAATAATATGATCTGTGATCTATTCCTCCCACTCTTATATGTTATATAATGTTCTTCCCTCCTTCTAAAATAAGTATTAACCACAGCAAGATCATACGATACTGCGAAATCCAGTAATCTTTTTCCACCCTCATTTTTCTCGTTAAAACCTTACTCTCCTCTCATTAACTACATGTCCATTCATATCTCTGCCTATCACCGCATCCTCATTGCCAGGTACCCGTTGCATCACCTCACCCATATCTCTCCAAAATACTTCCTTGTCTATTTCATCACATTCTACTTGTGGTGCATAGGCATTTATTACATTCAGCACTTTTTCTTCGAATATCAATTTTACGACCATAATTCTGTCACTTTTCCTAGCTACTTCTACTACTCTACTTTTTATCTCCTCATCCATTATTATCTCTACACCATTATTTGTACTAGACTTACCCGAGTATATTATTTTATAACCCTCACCTATTTCCCTTGATTTCTCTCCTTTCCACTTAGTTTCCTGCCCACAACAAATGTTAACTTTTCTCCTCTTCAATACTTCTATCAGTTAATGTTCCAACATTCCAAGTACCTATTCTTACTTTGTATCTATCTTTCTCCCTTATACACGAGTCCAGCCTAGAGTTAAGTGGTGATGTCCCTACACCGTTGACACTACAAGCGTTGGGTAGACCTGTACATATGACTGGTGAAACAGCTACCGCACAAGTTGTCCGGCTATTATCAAACACTTTATTCCTTAGGCCTTCCCCGTTTTTAACTACTTTCTGTTGTCCCCGCGTACATCCGAGATGGGACAATCCGCCTAAGTTTTGTTTAGGACACCTCATACTATTTGACAAAAATTGTACGCCGGCTGTCGACCTGACACAACCTCATTAGTCGCCTCTAACGACTGGCAGAGGGGCCGTGGAAGTATTCTTATCCCCTTTCCACAGGGAAAATTTGATGTTGATAAATTTTATGATAAATGATGTGTTAAAAATAAAAAAAAATTCCATAATTTTTCTAATTAATATATAATATTGCAAATAAAATTAATACATGTTAATTTTATTTTTATGAACGTGAATTTGTTTGTCTAAATAGTGTTTGAAATGTTTTAAAACTTTTTTTGGTTTTTGAATTTTAGAAAAATTAATTTTTATGTACGTGTTTGTTTATGATTAGAAATATTTTATATTCGATGAAGATTGTTTGTACATCCGTATTTTATCTAGTTAACTAGTGTCAATGTCCTCAAAAGCATGTATTACTTTAATTGTTAATAAAAACTGAATGGCTGCTTTAAATAGTTGGGTCTAGTTTTCAATGTAGCTAATCGTAATTGTATTGGATAATGCAATTTGTAATATAACTTAAACATAATAAAGTATTATTTTATAACGTTAGTAGAAAAATGTTCGTTCTGTTTACTTTAATGTTCATTTACAAAAAGTAATCTCTGTTTCTTTTGGTTGTGTTATAGAGGAAACAATAAGTTAAGTAGTATGCATTAAGTGATCTAACTTGCTTTCCCCACTACCAATTATCTTTCCATTGAACATAGTACCGGCGGGCTGGCTTGCATAGACTAGTTGTTATTTAGTGTTGAGTGCTCGGTCGCAAGTGTAATCATTTTGCATCGATTTAAAATAACTTTTAAATTAACGTTGTTTTTTAATTTGGAATTTTATATTTTGATATTATTTTTAAAAATGGACGCCATTATTATAGTCGAAGAATCATCATCCATAGTCATGAACGAACGATATGCTTTACTAAGGGACCGTAATCCTTTACAATATTCAAAGAATATTATTACCAATGTTCTGCATTTTATGCTTTCTGTGTATTTTTATTTAGATTTACAAGGTGGCGTGTTTTTTTCATAAGGTACTTAATTCAAAATTTAAAAAAAAAATGTTATCTAAATATTATTTTGTAACCTTTATAGTCTTAATAAATTCAATAATACTTTGGAAATTATTATTACACACAGGGAGACTGTTTAACATATAACACCAATGACGTCAGTAGTTCGTGTGTTTGCAAACTAATGTCTTATACCATAAATTTTATTATGTTTCTTTATATATTGGCGAATATTATTTCTTTAACTGTCTACTTACACTTGAATAATGTGTATTAGTATGGTATAAGGTATGGTTACGATTCACTGGTTAACCCACACTTTTTTTTTTCTACGAAATACTAAATTAATTTGTTCAAATGTATTCAACAAAAATCTTTTGTTCTATTTTGTCTAATTACTCCTNCGATTCACTGGTTAACCCACACTTTTTTTTTCTACGAAATACTAAATTAATTTGTTCAAATGTATTCAACAAAAATCTTTTGTTCTATTTTGTCTAATTACTCCTTAAATTATTTATTAATTTTCCACTCGTTCAGCCTCGGGGGTTTTTTTTTCTATTTTCATAGTGATTTTTATGTATTCATAGTTGGTTATTGTCAATTCTAACATTTATCTGTCAACATTGTGTCACTTTGATATGTGATTAAATTAAACATTTCACTAAAGCCATCAAGCTCATTTTGTTATCTATTGGTTTGGCTAATTGACGGTCTATGAATTATTATCGAAGTGTGCAAACGATGTGGATTCTATTAAATGAAATTATAGAAACTTAATCTTCATCGTTCTAAACTACTAAATTGTTTCTTTTAATTTTAACTTGATTTTTATGAGTGTAGATTAATTTATTACTGTTATTATTTTTTCTAAATAAATAAGGAAAAAAAATCTCTGAATTGATTAAAATTATAGGTTAATAGCTAATGAAAGTACCGTGGATATGTCAATTTTTTTTCACCCTCTATTGGATCTTGTGGGTCGTATTTTCTACGGTGTCATTTCCGTGACCTGATTTACTTGTTCATCGCTTTAAACTGTTGGTGATTTTATTAATTTGACCTGAGTAAAAATTTTAAAAGAAAAGACCTTCGTCTAATAGTTTTTTCGGTTTCAAAATTATTTTTTATTTTGTGATTTTAGTTGCGAACGATAAATTTATCACTAGACAGGTCAAGACCTTAAAACGTATAAGAAATTTATAATATTAGTATTATTATTGTCGTTTGATAACTTCTGGAATTGTCTGTATGACGTGAATAGGTGATAACTATGCGTTACGACCTTGATAGCATGTATATGTTTATAACCTTCGTACTGAACAATTCTCACTCAGCTTGAATCTAAACATATAAATATGATTTATAAATGTAAATAGTTAATTTTTGTAAAGCACTAACTGTGTCAAACTTTTGAAATTCTATCGATATTCCAGTTTTTAAGTAATTGGATTAAGATTAGAAGACCCGAAAATGTATAATTAAAAGAAATTATATAATAATGTTTCACTTTTTGACAATTCAATTTGTTTTATAAATATTTTTTAAACGTATAGAAAGCACACAATTGTTCAATTAGATACTTAATGTGGCATTCAATCAATCAAAAACATTAGAAATATTGATAATTTTTTTTTTTCTTATAAAAAATATATTTTTTAAACGGTTTCCAAAAAAATGCTTATTGTTATGGTATTAGGAAAAATGTATTTTAATTACTTAATGTTTATGGAAATTTACTACTTGATCTAAATATTAAAACTTGGATTTTACTAATCACAGCATTATAGTAATATTTACGATGCACTCGACATGTATTCAAGATTGTTTAAATAAATCTCAGTCTATAATATTACTATAATTTCAATCGTCTCTAAGAAATTTGTTGCTTGATAGACTGTACTGTTGACTGTATTTTATATAAATTCTTAAGAACTATATGTTAGCCAAAGTCTATTTTAATGATTGAAAATTTTAGTCAAATTTATTTTAACACGTAGCTCGGTATGCTCTAATTTATGGAAAAATTCAAGGCTATTTGTTATGTCATACGAATATTTCATGTATTCTCTAAACACAATATTTTTTGTTTATTATCAGACTGTAAATATTTCGAGCTATAATGCAAATATCTTTTATATATTAAAAAATGTAAGCTTTGAAAAGAATCATTTATTGTATTTTGATATATTACAACTTATTTTTAACTTGTCAGTAATAAACACTCATACACCTAAACATATTATAGTCGTTAAAGTCAATTACGAATATATTGTATTGGATCCGTGTATACTAATATATTATTATTGTTGTTGTTTGCAGCGATTTTTTTGACGAATATTATTATAGAATACTTGAACATTTTATTGTCCAAGTATAAATAAAATAAGTATTTTTAAAACCATATTACAGTTTTTTAGTTGATAATTTAATTATCCAACTTCTACCAATTAAGCTGTTATTTGTAGGTACATTCTTAATTTAATTTAAACGTTAATATTTTTAACTATGTTCCAAAATAAAAGTTTTTGTATTATTCGATATCGTTTGAATAAAAAAAACAATTGTTGGGAAATATTTTGTTTTGTTATTTTAAGTGTCTATGATAATAATATCTTGGTTGTTATTAGGATAGATAAGATAAAATTTTTTATCTTATCTGTGTTAATAGTTTATAAAATATTTGATAAATGACAGATATTCATACTGGCGTTCATGAACAAAGGTCAGTCTGAATATTTAGTGGCAATGTACGATATTATCACGGGTTAACTATTTATAGTACGTTTACCTAAAATTGAATTTTGTTTACAGGTTAGAACTGTCTATACTCATAAATATTTTTTTTAAATGTAAACTGAGTATGAACCTCTTAAACTGTTTGTTATTTTCAAGTATAAACAAAGGGAATTATTCTTTGCTTGATTACTAAAAATGTAAACTTTTAAAATCATTTTTCATTTAGTATTGTTATTAATTAAATTAATTAATGACATGGATGTATTTGTATTAATCCGTGTAACGTCATTAGCAATAAAAAAAACTTATCTGCTCATTTTTATTGAATAATTATAATTAGACATTTTTTGCTTTGATTGTTAATTTTGATTTAATTATTTTTACTTAAAATAATTTATTAATTTAAAAAACAACTGATCTTCGAAATTTCTTAAAATTATGTTTAAGACTTCTATATTATTTATTTAAATAGCATGTTATTAAATTTAAATTGAATTTATTTTTTGCATTCTCTGAAGTTTCTTAATACAGTTTGAAAAATGGGAACAATAGATTTTTTGAACATACAGAGTGTTTATTTTATGTATGTCACGTGTAGTAAGGTGATATTCTATAGGACCTGACAATAGCGGATTTAATATTAAAATTTCCTGCCCCTAAAATTGAGGTTTTCCGGTTTCTCCACTCCAAGTTTTATCTAAATCAAAAATAAACATCGCCACGTATTTCCAATGATATTCTTGTACAAATTGAGTGATCATTCAAAACTCATTCTCTAAACTTTGTACTCGGTTGAAAAAAAATTCACTAAAGTGCGACTCGTCAAAAAGTTTAACTAAAATTTCACTAGGAGTCGGTGGTGTGGTTTATTTTTAATACTATTACATAACAAAAAAAAAATCCAGGGATAATGTGATCTTGTTTATTTCCTCTTTTATTACTAATTCAAAAAAGTCAAGAAAATAAAATTATCATAAGATTGAAATGAATATTTTAAACTTTATTATAATAGGATAATTAGAAATAATTATTTATGTGTAATGGACACACTGTTTTTTCCCGGCATTAATCATCACGAAGAATACAGCATATCACTGTGCTTGTTCATATTAATTTAAACATTTATAAATTAAATGTTCGAAAAAGATTAAACTATTAATTAATGTTTAATTAAGTTGTAAAAAAAATAGGTAACTAAAATTTTAGCTTATCATTTTATGCAATAAAAATGCTGCAATTGCAGTGTAAAACATTTTAATATACGTCACACACTTATAAATGTAATTTTAATTTATACTTATTCAATTAATATCACATTACTACACGTAATTTATATTAAAACGACATTCTGTTTATTTATATGTATATAGTTATCAGTATTCAATGTTATTCAACTGAATTTATTTTATTTTTCAGTGTTGAATGCCCTAAGGAGAACAAGTCACCTTTGGAAAAATTTAAAGGCAACACAGTGTTATGGCGAACACTACGTATTGCTGTACCGTTCTATTTGGCTATTGTGATACTGTGTTCCCTTGGTTGGCTAGAGCCACAGTGTTGTGAACTACAAAATAACTACAGATGGTCCTTTGCACTAGGTTTACGTTATTTAAATGGTCCACCGCCAACGTGAACTGCTAATTTAAATATTTTATACCTTTAATTATTTTTTCTGTTTTAATGTACATAAAAAAATTTATTGTTATTCATTTTTGTTAACCGTTTATTTTTGTTGGTGTGCATCATGAGGGACTAAGATATCTGTAACCATTATTTTTCGTCATAGCTACCCTTTCCCCGCCTACTTATTAAGAAAGTCAACATTCCTAACACTTTTAGTAATTTTAATTTATATCTGTTTGGATACATTTTTTTTTCTTTTTTGAGTATTTTTGTATTTTAAATATGTTAGCTTATAATTATGAATGAAATAATTTTGATGACTAAAATGTAAAAAATTTCTGTTTTATTTAAAAGCTTTATGTATACATCTTTACTTTTGAACATTTGAAAAACAAATTTTTAAGTTCTTGTTATTTTTTAATCTAGATAGTCTATTTATATAATTATGACTTGAGTGTATTATAATGAGATTTTAAAGCAATTTCTATTTCAAAAATATTTATTATTTCATTTAAAATATAATTCAACATTTTTCTTTAAATTTGTGTTTACAAAAAATGTATTCTTCTGTTCTACAATTATATTAAATTAAAATTTGTTATTTTTTAATATAAAAAAATATCGTTGACTATGTTACCACTTGAAAACATTATCCAAAGTACACAAGTACAAAAAAATTTATTTATTTAAAATAAACTCCTTTTTTATTTGTTAGGAAGGTATGTCTTCCATAAAAGGTGCATTTGTATACATGTGTAAATGTATGAAGTTTTATTATCATTGAAAATATATTATTTTCTCCAGTGATAATATATAGTTATAAGTATGAATACTGTAATCGCCTAGTTGTACGTGAATTTTTTTATAAATATATCATGTATGTGTATGATAAAATATTTTAATTAATAGAAAAGGGTGTTAGCATAATTTTTAGCAAATCCTTTTTTTTTAAGTACTCAGCTAATTTTTTTACAACTCAGTGTAACTAAAGTTATACTACTATTTCTAGTCTACTATTGTTCAAATGGACAATCGAAATAATATTTTTATTGAATGTTATAAAATAAACACTTGCATTTAAATCTTTTTCGAATATAATAAATATTTTTATTTGAATTAACTATTATTTATTTCAAAATATTTTTTAATTATACCTTTTTTAATATTTTGTACTTGTAACCCAAACATAATATAAATAATCTTTTACATACAACATTGATTCTCTTAATATTAATTAATATCTTATAGAAAAAAAAAAAAGAGTAGCAGATTATCTTTATATAATATGGTTTTAGTACATATCATGTACTTAATGTTTAATTGTTAAAATATATAATGTAACTTATATTTAACAAATAATTTGAAAATAAAATTTGTATATCTCAATTATTAAAGGGGTTTTTTTTTTTCATTAAATAATAACTGATGTAAATGAAACAATGTGTTTTTTTATTAATACCCCTTGATATTTTTTTTACATTTTCAGTGCCTATTAAAACTATACTATACCCAAAAACGTTTTTGTAAGTAGTTTCAATATTCTTGTTGTTTTAAGTACAATATATTTCAGAAGAAAAAATTTTATTATCAAAAACGTATGAAGTTAAATAATATATAAAATGTAGCATTTTAAATACATTTTTTATACTATCTTGATTTATATAAAAATATTGTATTTTTAAAACCTATCTTTTATTTATACAATCTAAAAATATATAATAAAATACGTGGAGGAGTTACACATAATGAAAATAAAATGATAATCATTTTAAAATTAATAAGTTTTTTGATCTTGATCCTCCCAACTTGACCATGTATTGTTATATAATTTTGGATCAGCTACTCTGCCTGACGTTCTCTGATTAACAGGTTGCACTAATAATACTCCACGATAATTATCCAACAGTCGCTCAAAGTATTCGACTTTAGATTTTACCAAAGCTTGCATTCTACTATTGGGATTGTAATTTAAATTAACTTGTTCACACGGATCTTTGACCACATTAAACAAACAAGGTCTTCTGCGAGGCTGACATGGTTTTGAATTTTTGTTATAACGAGCACAATTTACTTTGGATTGTTGACGAAGTCGTAGAATTTCATCATCTGATAATGATTTTCTATCTAAGTTGGTTTTTGACATAATTTGACCAACAATACTACTCAACACCATATCAGAATAATTGAAGGAATTATTCCCCATAATTTGACACGGTCTCTCAGACCAATAATCAAGAAATCCCAAAAAGGTAGTTCCTAAATTAATAGAAAAATCCTATTAAGTTACAATGCTCAAGGATTCTTTTTTTTTTTTAATTATAAATTGATGTTTTTTGTAACTAATAGAGTTATGATTATATACAGGGTGTTCAGTAAGTCAGGAAACGGGTTTCTATTGTTCTAATTGTTACAAACAATGAGAACAATAGATACCCGTTTCCTGACTTACTGAACACCCTGTATAATTTGGACCCGTACTGATACTAAAAGTAATGTAGGTAGACGATAAAGTTATTTTTAATCAATGAATAATCTTTTTTAAATATGTTACTTTATTTTAGTTTATTAGCAATAAATTTTGAAATATTTTTAACTAAAATAATAAAATATTTTCAAGTGGGGAGTGAAATCCCTATGATCTCTTTTCAGGAAGACCCGTATTTACAAAAAAGTAACAGCTGTAACAAAATATAATTTTTTTTCTTATAACCTTTTTGTTTAACTCATTACTTACCAAATTATGTAATTAGGAAAAAATTTATATATGCCTAGAAATGGCTATGAAAAATCACGCTGCAACAATAGCAATCCCCTTAATCACACAATAAATATACGAGTCTGATTCTATTGTTAATAATAACTGCATCATACTAACATACCACTTATGTATTTATAAATGGAGTCTCTCACAGCAGCATAACCACTAACATCATCAATATTGTAAAGTAAACTATTTCTCGGCCAACTTTCATCGTTTATATTATTTTGCCAAGTATCCCACATGTTTATACCGTCAATCTTGTTGAGATTTGCTACATCCCCACCTAGAAAAATTTTATATATAAATTCACTTATTCGATGACTAGCCTGTTTGCTACAATACATTCTCTTATAGCTTGTAGAATAGTCTTGAACGTTATTTCAAGCAAGGATTACAATATAATCAGTGTTAAATCCAAAAAAACATTTTTTTAATCTATGAAAATACGGGAAAAATGTTTTTTCTGCTTACACTCAATACAGTAAATGATTATTGACTATTTTTTGTTTATGATTGCAAATAAAAATAGAAAGAGTACCCAAAATCCTGTGTTAGTCCTTAGAAATTATAGAAGTCCAAGAAATATTGAAAACGAATGATCAAAAAATCATCTAGATTTGATATACGAAATGTTAAACTAAAAGTCATTAATTTAAAAAAGGTCTTATTATCAATGGGCACTGATGGTGGGGATGCGACTTTAAATATAATACCGCTAGTCATAGATATAAAAAATTGTCAAATTAAATATAATAAAATAAATGCAATACACATATTATTATTTTAAAGATTTCAGTAGAAAGTAGAAATGAAAATAATAATAATAGCGATTATACTACAATATCAACCGATAACGACAAGCAGTTAATTCTAAAAATAAATTACTCTTAATAGTAATATATTAATATTTTACTATATGGACAACGCTGACAGTTGTCCAAACACTGTTCGTGTCATCATGTGTAAGGGTACCATATATTGAGGAAAACAACTTTAATGTTCGTATACAACAAATGTATTATAATTATTTTACCATTTAAAAATTTGCATTTTTAATAAAAATATAGAATTAAGAATATGGAATTAAATTTCTTCTTTTAAATAATTTTAGAAGGGGGTGCGATCGTCCCGTCGTCCAAGTCACAACCCGCCATTGCTAATTATAATGATTTTTTTTTATTTTATTAAGATAAAAAAATGAAACTGTAATATAAATAGTGTTCAGATATATTAATGCATTTTAAATGCTAGTAAATTGTCTAATATATTTTTACAAACTTAATCAAAAGCTAAATTGACATTATTTTGAGCACAAATCATGAAACATTTAACATATTCATACCAAATTCATTAGTATAATTTTATATACAGAGTGTTCAGTAAATAAGGAAACGAATTTCTATTGTACTCATTGTTTGTAACAATTTAACTGTTTCCTAACTTACTGAACACCCTGTATACTCTATTGTTCAGGGCGGCATTTAGGAATTGTACCACCCAGGGAACTCAATTCTGCCTCCTCTAATGACCTTTTTATTCTGTTTATCAAACAATTTTTTTCTACATCGTTATTTATTTTTAATAAAATAAGCAAATTAAAAAGGTCTTCAACTATATATATTGTATATTAGTGTGTATTTGGTTTAATGGAGCATTTTCTCCAAATAAATAAAATGCATATTCTATAAACAATAAAAAAATAGTAATCCTTTTAGAGTCTGACTTTTAATTTCAACACTTCGTTTAAACGGCTTTGTAAATAAATATTAAATAACTTTTTTAAACGATTACCAGCTGCTCGGTAAAGAGTGGGCATCCAATCACTTATGTGCATTAGTCCGTTTGATACGCGTCTCTTATTTTTTAAAAATCTACTCCATACAAACGCTGGTGTTCTTGTACCTCCTTCCCACGGTGTTCCTTTTTCCTATAGAAAAATAAATGTATTATTAATATACACATTGAAAATACAAGGTGTATGATAAATAATAACTGTGTACTTAAAATATACAGAATGTTTGATAGTTAAAAACCTTTAATTTTAATATATAGATTTACGATATGTTAAACTCTGTACATTATTTATTGTACATTTATTTTACAAATTAAAATGTTAAAAACTAGTATAAAATGTTTTTATTATTTTTAATACTCTTTTTAGTATTGAAAAACTAGCTACGTCATTTTACCTATATTCTCCTATAAAATGACATGGTTTTATTAGTGACATTTTTAAACGTAAATTAATCTGCTACAGATATGAAGATTTCAAGTAATAAATATTGAGCGTGTTCAAAATGTTTGGAATCATATTTTGTAAAAGTATACTACGACCTTTGTAATATACACGCAATCTAAATGTGACGTGTTTTTTCAATTAAAAATTGAAAAATTAATGTTTTTAAATTGTACAAATTTTCATAATAAACGAATCGGAAAAAATACTCACAAGATATCTACCGTAAGAATGTGTGGGTGAAGCACAAACAAACCTGTATCTATGGGAGATCAAAGGAAGCTATGGCCTTTGAGCTTCAAGATTTCTTTAGGAGCGTTTAGAATGCTTTGTTTTAGTAAAGAATAATATGAAACTAATTTTACACCTATAGGCGTAAATTTAACTTATATCAAATTTAATATAGGGATCTTATTTATATTTCTAGCCCCAGACATTATATTGCCTAAATCTGGTCTTAAAATTAGCATAAAACTTAATAAGTTCATCTCAGATTTTGAATTGTGTACTTAAAAGTTAAATCCGATATAATAGATTATGTAATTTTCTTAACAGAAGAGTTTTTTAGCTTATATTTTATATAATAAAGCTACTCTAGCGCTTTGTTTTTTATTTATAATTTACCAATGAATTTCGTATACCAAATAATTTGCAAATATACTTGAAGATAAAAAAGCTCTTAGAGAAATAAAATGTATGTATTTTAACGTACTCCTTTTAACGGCCAATTTGATCCGTAATTTCTATGGATGCCATTGGTAGGTGCTCCGTTGTCCGATAAAAATACAATGATGGTGTCATCAAGCATTCCCTTGATTTTTAATGCGTCAACTACATTACCAACCGAATCGTCTAAGACTTTTACCATTGCTAAATTCAGAACGTTTAAAACAATAATTATGACTAATAATTTCTTTGTAATTTAAATGTATTGTTCCTTATACACTAGGGTGGTCCTTAGCTATAGTAGATGATTTTTTTTTACAATAAATGATACAAGGTACTCGCCATTTTATCCTACAGAGTAAGTAGAAATTTTTGGTAAATTTTTAAAGTTCTAAGTCAATTCCTATGTTTTTCTTTTTACCCATCTATATATTCGTCATTAAATTTTATATATATGTAACATTTGAAGCTGGTCAAAATAAAAAATATGATTTAAACTTAATTTGATCCGATCCGTTCAAAAAAGAGCATAATAGTAATTGAAAAATTTTAGCTTTTTAAAATTCATTCATTAAATTTTATTTACAAACAAAACAAATTATTTGATTTTTTTCTAATTCGCACCAGCGTACATTTGCCAATATCAACGTCAACTTTTAACCACTTTGCAACACATGTAAGAGTTGACCTAGAACTCTTAAAATTTACCAAACATTTTATTTTACTATGTTATCTAGGATTACATTTTTTTTTTTTTTAATAATTACTAGTGATGGGAAATATCGAATAGTAATTATCGAACTATTTGATATAGTTACAAAATATATTTGAAAATGCTCATCACTAATAATTACCACTCAAGTATACCTGTAAATTTTCGTCGATTTTCATCTTTGATGTAATTTAACTTTTGAACTTCTTCGGGTGGAGCTTGTAATGGATTTGTATAAGGACCAGAGTGTGGAGCAATATGCGCGAGATACAAAAATAAAGGATTTTTGGTATTATTGTGATCTCTTATTATGTTTACAGCTTCATCCGTAAATACACGGGTTGAATATTTACCCATCGATGACCAATCTGTTTCTAAGTCTCTTCTCATATCGAATCCTTCAAACGACGTAAACTAAAATACAAAAGTAAACAAATATACTACAAACTACTACTTACAATTATTTTTTACAATAATAAAACACATATACAGTATTTTATTTTGAAGCTAGTCAATAGCAACAATATTTTTAAATAATATTTCTATTTTAATTTTAACTTCCTAATAAAAAAATATACTAATTAATTTCAATTTTTACGATCCAAATCCCATAAACTCTGGATACGTGTTTCACAATAATTTTTTGTATACCGTTGCCTGAACCATGTGCGTATAATAGTCTTGATAACCATTCCACAGCCCATAGAAACTATCGAATCCTCTTAACGTCGGCGTGTAAGCTTTTTTAAAGTATCCCAAATGCCATTTACCGACAGCTCGGCAGGTGTACCCCAAATCCTTCAAATGTTCTGGTAACAGTTTCTCTGTGAGAGGAAGGCCCCAAGGTTCTGGTTCAAGTATTATGTTGTGCTGCATCCCTATAAAATAAATTTTTTGAATTAAATGATTTAATATGTTTAGTAATTTTTTATTTTACAAATAAACATTTACAATCTGTTTACAAGGTAATACATAAAAATAAATTTCATGTCTGGTGCGTCATTTGAATTTTTTGTATAAATATTGTTGAGACCGCGTTATGTTATATTTTTATTTTCAAAGAAGGCCTTGGACGATATTCAAAAGATAATAAGAGAAAATACTGTCAAAGAATACCATGGTAATCAAAAAAATCACAAGGGTTAAAGAAACACGGTTTTTTTTTTTATCAAAGTTATGCTTTATTAATTCGGTAACTTAAATTTTTAACACGCTTTTATTAGTTTCACATGTATGTTGTTTGTATGTAAGTTTGTAACTCTCCAAACGCCACGCGTTATCGCATATTCCGTTGTCTAGACTAGACTGTTATACGCATTCACCCCTCCCCACGCCTCGCTCACAATACGACGGTACACTATTCCTATAAAAATTTATTTTTAGTTATCGTACCCGTACACGCGTGCTTGTCATCAATATTATATATATGTAAACAAATTTTTATTTTGACTGACCAATAACGCCCGCGTCTAATGCGCCTTACGTATATATATATATATTCCTACCGCCGTTTATACCTCGGGTATAACGTTAGTCCGACCCGCCCGGCCATAAAACACAGCTATACTTAGTGCATGATACTTTTACGTAGTTAAGTCGCATTATTTGTATAAATATATATATTCTAATTACTATTAAAATTAATATATTAACACGATTTATTCTAATTAAGAGATATAAAGTATTCATTCCGATTACGAGGGATGATTTCCGTATCGTCATTTTTCGTCACTACCTCCACGTTCCGGGAGTGAGTAATTTACGCGCCTGCTGCTTTCCTTGGATGTGGTAGCCGTTTCTCAGACTCCCTCCCCAGAATCGAACCCTGATTTCCCGTTACCCGTAACAACCATGATATTGATAGTAACTACTATCATAACATGAAACTAAAAAGTAAAAAATAAATATAGTTTAAAAAACTAAAAAAACACGCTTTTAAAGTACATCGAACTAAAAAGTTAAAAATAATTTTTAAAATAATTATGAACAAAAAATACTAGTATTATTGTGATAAAAGCGTGGGTGCTTTGTGCCATATTTTTCGTATATTGAGCGCCCGACGCTTTTATCACAATAATACTAGTATTTTTTGTTCATAATTATTTTAAAAATTATTTTTAACTTTTTAGTTCGATGTACTTTAAAAGCGTGTTTTTTTAGTTTTTTAAACTATATTTATTTATCTTTGATATTGTTCAGTTTAGGCCAGTAACACTGTCTTTGAGGATAATTGATATCACTGAATTTTATGCACGCAAATGTGTTCCTTGTGTACCATAAATGCATATACAAGGACAACTAGATCAAAATTTCTGGGGGTGCTAAAAAGGTGTATGCCCCAACACCCACTACGATAATGTCGCTTACATAAAAAATGTATAATGAAAACAAAAATTATAATCATTATGTAATGCATTGCAATCATTACCATGTAATCATACAATCACAGGCGGAAATCAGGTAGAGCAGGAGGGCTTAGCTCTTCAAAAGTTGCTGTAGCCCCCTAAAGTTTTTAAAAAATTATATGTATTTATATACAAAAGAGATTTTCATCAATGTATACAATCATAAAATTAAATCATTATCGTTATCTGTATATGTTATAAATACATTTAGGTGTCATAGTTATCCGACAAAAGAAAACATTTTTTTTTTAATTAATCTAAAAATATACTTTTGAGAAGAATGTAATAAAAAAAACCATTATTAATTAAATTAATATTTGTAAGACCAAACCAAGAAATGCCTTCTAAATATTTAGGGGTGTTAAAGTCTTTCTAGCAGACCCCTAGGTACACTTATATACAAATAACAGACCTAATTGATGTATCAAATTTTAGACATAAGACTCGAAGAAAAGGGACGTTCTTTTCTGTGACATATTTCCAAAATATACAAGATATAGAATATATATACAAATATACATAAACATTAAGGATGGTAGGGTGTTAATTACTAGGACTAAATAGTTATAGTGTTAATAACAATTTGTAAAGATGGATTTTTTGTTGATAACAATTAACAAAATAATATCTATGGCACCGATAGCAAATTGTATTACATACTAAACATTTTCACTGTAACACTACCATCACTACCAAATTTTTAATGGCCTTTCTTCGCTCAATTCCTATTATTTAAGATTGTTTTAATCACTTTAATAATGAATTATGAGTATTTATTGATGAATAAATATCTCCTAATACTTTCTCCCAAGGACAGCATTTTTACGTTCATGTATATGAAATACTCTTTAAAAAAATTAAGTAGCCATTGATGAATTTTACCAAAGGCTATAAACCATAATTCTAGTGGAAAGTCAGACGATTTATGAATCACGAAAATTTAAAATGATCGCCTAGTAGATAGTTAATTCTGGGTAAATATACATATGTATATATATGTAATTGATACTAAACATATAATCAACATATAGTATTTAAAATGTAGGAATATTATACATTTATTGCATGTAAAGAGATTACTAGGAACACAATATAACTATCCATTTCTCCTGAATACAACTACAAAATATCCTATGTAGCCCTTATTATGGTGCACTAATTTTTAAAACTTTAAATAGATCAACCAATCAAATTGCATTTTTTAATGATATATGCGGAATAATGCGAGAACGATATGTTGACATTCAACTTTAAAATTGATATGTGTCTAACGTCCCCACAAAACCGAGGTTGCAACAACATGTGGGCTATGATACATATGTTTTTTTTTATTAGTACAACTTTTAATGTAAATATATGTATTTTTTTTATTTTCATTATAATTTTTGTATTTTAAGCGTAGACAGTTATAACCTGTTATAATCTATGAACAAAGATTGCCTCATTAAGACAGAGAATGAATTATGACCCTGAGAAATTAATATTATTCAAAAATCTACCTGTATGAATAGGATATTTTCCCGTGAGGAGAGCGGCTCTAGAAGGAGTGCACAACGGTTGGCTGTAGTGACTGTTAAGAATGATACCGTCATAAGCGAGAGCATCAATATTAGGAGTCTGTATTTGATCTGAACCATGAAATCCAACATCGTGCCAACCCTTTAATAAAACATACAAAAGCTACTTGTATTTTAAGACTTTAAATTGGCGTATTTCACACAATGGCGTAATCGACTATTCTTATTTGCCTTGTAAATGTGTCAATTTTTTTTTTTCCAAATGGAACACATATTTTTAATTTAATAAAATGTCTGAGTTTTTCATTTGAAGTTTGAGTTTTTTAATGACATTTGAATTTTTAATATAACTTTATTAGTTTATTATATATAAACATTTAAAGTTTCAAATTTTTTAGTTAATATACATGTACAGGTGCTAATTGGTTTTTTATGACATCGATATTTACAGGTACACAGCATTTATTATCAATGGTAATAAGGGATATTGTTGTAAGTTTATTAATACACTAACTTGCAATTCAGAAAGTTTATCTATTGATTGTCATAATTGACAATAAACACTCTGTGACTAGGAAAGCGACGTCATAAAAATTTACTATTAAATTAAAAACTTAAACATCTTATTAAATTCAAAATATGAGTTCCCATTTATAAAAACAAACCGACACCCTTACAAGGCATAAGGTATGAACTTGAAAAGTATTACATAGTTAATAATTCAAGAACAATGTGTAACTAAAGAAAATCAAAAAAAAAAATGTTTAAATTATAATTATTCTGTAAGTAATTGAGTAGCTTATGATAAAAAAAATTATTCTGTATTTTTTAATCACTTTTATCAATCTGAAAACGTATAAAAGAGGTTTTTTTGTTCATTGATTGTTAAAACATCTTGAGTTACACGACTTAGTAAGCTAATAACTTTTATATTACGTTTCGACTCAATAAAATATCACTCTCGAATTTCTCTCATTTTCAAAATTGTTCATGCTATACAATTATTATTGATTATAAATAAATTCTAGATTGATATGCATTTATAAATTTTGTTTTAGCCATTTTAAAAGAACTAAAGTTTATGGAAATTTATTGTTAGAATATACAGTAATATAGAAATATTTTTCATTTTAGAAGGGAATAACTTCCCCTAATTTTACAATACTATAAACCCAGTTAAACCACATTACTAAGTTTTCAAGCCCATTAATAAAAATTTGTATTGGCTCATGATGTGTATAGAATATATAAACAAAATTTATAAATGTTGACTCGTGATGTTTTTGAAATTATCAATTCAACTAATTACTTAAGACAAATTCAACTTACCAAATCATCTGCAACAATAAATACAATATGAGGCTTTCGTTGATTATTAGAATTTTTGCTATGATTACTACCAACCGATTGACAAATCACCAAAAACAATACATAAATTTCAAAAACTAAGTAATAGCGACAATTTGCCACAATCATATTTATTTAATAACAATTATAGTTGGTGTAGTATTTTTTAAGATTTAAAAACTTCTTTAAATAAATTCAAAATGTTGTTCCTTACATAGTAATATTTCTTATAACAATATTAGTGTAAGTTATCTTAACCAACCGTTCGTGAAAAATCTATGTTCTTGTTAAATGACTGTTATTCTATCTTATATATTTCAATAGAATACGCAATCGTATTTTCACAAGGTCGTAACGTTCTTCAAGTAAGTGCAGAAATGACAAATTACTTCCTTTTTTAATGATGCGAGTACTGCTAATTTATAGTAGGGATTACTACTATTTAGATTTAATAACAACTAATGATAATTTAAATGTATTAATGGACAGTAGTACATTTATAATTTATAACATCAATTTTTAATATTCAACGTTCGATAGTACGTAAGTATGAGTTATTTTAAAAAATTATACTTAACATGGACTAAACTTTGAAAAGTTATGATATTCTTAGGACGAATTATAATATTCAAAATAAAAAAATAAATGTGAAACTCAGCTAGTATGTTTATATATCCAGTAGACATTTATACGTAGTTTTAACAAATTAATTGTTCGGTAATTAAGGAAACAAGTTTATATTGTTCTCATTGTTTGTAACAATTTACCTGTTTCCCACTTACTGAACACCTTGTATTTATATACATCTATTAACATAAGATATACGAGGATATTATATTTATTTTATACATAATTTTAGAATTTTTTTTCTCAAAACACAACCATTTCACGTTTATTAAACGTATATTAAACAAACAACTTTCGTTAATAATTGATATAATAGTTAAAACTAAGTTTTTTTTACCCCTTATGTTTGGTTTAACTTTAGTTAATTAAACGATAATATTAAGAGTACGTTTCGATTAAATAACGTTTATAAATCGTATGAATGTAATATAAACACTATGGAACTTAAGTATAAACGCGGATGTTTTGTTGTATAGTGTCTATTGTATACAGGCACGTAGCCAGAAAATATTTATTGGAGGGGCCAACAATTTTGGGCCCTTGTATCATTTTCCATAATTTGTTTACCATGAAAAGCTTGTGGGGGGCTCCCTCCACTCCTCCTTAGACAGTATCCCATTCTATGAATCTTACAAGTTCAAAATTTTACCATTGGTTGGT